ACCCTGTGCTTAGTTCGCTTAAAAAAAAAAAAAAAAAAAAAAAGAATTCTGTACAATATGCTTCACTAGATCCTTTTGTGCTTTGGATACATTTAGCAGCTTTTGACCAGATAAGGCATATTTGTCCTCAGGATACAAACCAATAATTCAATCCTGAATTGAGATCTATGGCCACCCGTTTGTTCCAGCCCACACTAGGAGTCTCTGTCATCCTCGGAATGGTTTGTCGCACCTGGGGAAAATAAAAAAAGGAATAATAATAATTTAAAAAAAAACCCCAACAACCCTGATGCACCTCAGGAATAATAATTTGTTAGCAATTAAGATATTTTAAATAATCTGAGGTAAATTATACGTTTGCATCCTGCAGTGGGCTTTAAATGCAAAAAGAAAAGCAGAGGCCTTGGCAGCATTTCGCGGTGTCTCCTGCCTCCCCGACCTTTTAATTCACTGAGAATTTTTATTTACGCCGACGGGATGTTTCTCACGGAGCGTGGCTGAGTGTGTACACTTTTATTGCTGTGTACATTTAAGTATCTCCCTGCATATGGGGGCTATTCATACAGCACAGCAACTCACGGATTAGAGAACAAACCCGCCATAAATTGCGGCGCAGTCAGTAAAAAGATGCCACAGAAAAAGTGTCCCTGGGAAATTAGATTGACCCAAAGAAAAGCAAATAAAAGAAAGGAAAAGGCCCATATTTTCTTTGCGGTGTTGCTGAAAAGGATGGGAGTATCATTTTCATAGTGGAATAATGTTTTCTGGGAAAACACAAAAGCAGATGTTCCTCATTAGGAACACCCATTGTCTACATATCACAACTATGAACAGATAAATCTCTCCTATTTCACCCATACATTCCAAGGGCTGTAAATGATTACAGGATGCCGCTGGAACTGCTAAACCAAAACCACACTCCGCGCTGGAATAACTCCTCCGTGCCACCGTCGTGCGCGGGCTGGGGAAGGTATGGAAATCCCTGCCACCCTCCGCTCCCCCTGCCCTTCCCCTCGCTTCCCCGGGGCTGGCACGTGCCCCCAGGGTTGGGTGTCCCCAACTGTTGATGGCAGGAAGGTGGCAGGGTCTGTGGCATCCCTGTCCCTCGCCGGCAGGTCTTGGATGCTCTCGCGGCGCATCCCCGCTCCTGCGCGCGGCAGCGGGTTTCCAGATGGTACCATCACAGCCCTACTGCTAGTTGGCATCTCCGTGGGTAGTAAATACCCCCCTCCCCAATAAATCTGGCATTATTCTATAGAGTTTAGGAGACTTATCATTCCAAGTGTGTCCTACTTTCCTGTATGGGAGCCAGACATCTGTTTATCCCATTTCTTTCATACGGAGTTTGGAATAGCTTTAGTTTGGGGGAATAAAAAGTTTTGTCATATTTAACAGCTGTTACAAAATTTCAATCCCGTAGGCTCTTAAAATACTTTTCGACTGACCTCAGATTTTGTAGATAATTGACATTGCTGGTAGCCACCCCCTTTAACCTTTCCCTGGCTGTAATTTCAGATTATTTTCCCTAAACGAGCCGACTGTTCACGCTGGGTTTTAGGGTTTTTTTTAAAATTTTTTTTCTTTCTTTTTTTTTTTTCTTTCTTTTTTTTTCCCCCCCCGGCTTGCCCGTGCCCAGCTTTAATTCCATCCTGCCCGGGGTTTACACCTTCGGAGGGGTTGTGGCGGCGGCTGGAGGGCGATGGGGTTTTTTTTTTTCGTCAGCAGCGTTTCCTTTCACTTCCCGTCACAAAGGTGAGAGCCGCTGACCTTTGCTGGCAGCCCCGGCCGCTGAATTATTCATGTGATTGACTTTTTGTCAGTGCACACAGTTGTGCTCTGGGACATTTTATTCATTTACCTCATTTAAAGCGCCTTTCTGCACCTGTTCAAGTATTAATATCATGTAATTTGGGCCTAATGCCGATTTTGCTGAACACTCATTATATTTTTTATTAGCTATATTTCCAAACGATTATGTATGATTATTACCAAGCCTTACAAACAGCAATGGGTTATTCCCTAGACCTTTACATCTTCTTGTCAGGTTGTTTTCAGAAGCAAGGAGGATAAACATTTGACCAGTCCCAATGTTTTTATTCCTACTCCACATCCAACCAGAGAACTTAAAGCTTTTTCCCTTATGGCTTTGCGAAAGCATGATTAAATCCAACTCTGCAGAAGCTGTACAAATGCCAGCATTTATAAGGTCAACGCTTTTGTTAAAAATGCTATGTAAATGAGGATCTGCAAAAAGGGACATTAAATAAAATTAAATTCATTGTCTTCTTTAATGTCATTTACATTTTGGCTAAGCCCTGGCCTGTCAAGGAGGATTTTTTAAATAATTTTAATTACACATCATTTAGGGATCCAAGGTTTTCTATTCAGTAGCATTTGGATAACCTGCAAAATGGTGACTGTTTATTAACTTCTTAAATGACAACTTGTCATTTCATCTGCATAATGCAATGAAAACAGACCAGTTTGGTGTCATTTAAAA